TGGATGATAACCTGCTGACAGGAAATGGTCAGCAGAACTGCTCTCTGACAAAGAAAACTTTTGTTAGGGGCTGAATCCTACCAAATGTGGTGGGACACAATGCTAACCAAGATTTCTTCTCTAAATACTCAGCTTTTAGAGAAACGTAGACATCCGAAAACGTGAAGTCTAAGTTATCTTCAGGAAACCAAATAAACAGAAATCAAAGAACGGTTGACATCCACTTTGCTGACCGTCATGTCACCAGGTCACGCAGACGTAACTGCTGTGCAGGCAAAGGGGTCCAACGGGGATGGCTGCATTATCCAGCTCAGCCATCGACACTGATGAAACTGACCTGGGGAATGCAGAACCTGGCTTTGCTTTATGGCCTGAGGGTAAGCATATGTTTCACTTTGCACACTTTTATTACTTGTTAAAGAGACACAATCCTAAATATATGTAAGGGTTCATATGCCAAACATTCTCTACTCTATACAGTTTGAATTGATTAAAGTCTCATTCACCAGTTCTTCTGAAGTACAACAATCCCCAACTCGGGAAACAAAGAAACAGAACCTGCTGCGATCTACAGCTTCCCTCCTCTCCTAGATCAAAGGGAACCCCAAGGCAGACAAATAAATATTTGGAAGTAAGATTCAAGAAAAGTCAAAATAGACCACAATGAGATTAATGTCCCCGGAGTTTTTTCTTGGGTTTTGCATTCAGATAAAACTCAACTCCCCTGTTCAAATGAACATGCTCGTGTACATTTCTGGAAATACAAACACAAAATATGACTTCATATCTCCACAATCTGTTCTTCCAATATGGACATGCTGGACAACTCTGATAAAAATACCTACCAAGGATTTACTTCAAGTTCAAATACAAGACAGTTAGTGAGTAGATTAATAGTGATATTCTTCTCTAATCCTGAGCATTTTATTAAGGGACAAAATGAATTTAACAGATGGATTTCAATGGCTATCTTCCTGGTGTCCTAAATAACGCGTTAATAATAGGAAAGGTTTAACTAATATGAAAGGGCAGTATATACATTGTGAGCATTCATAAACACAGGATGGCTGAAACACTTTCCCGTGGGAAGCACCACTTGACAGAACTCCTACTTTTATAACCTGATCTGAGGGCTAAGAGTTCCCCCATAAAGATGACGCAAGGCCCTAACGCACAGCACATTAAGCCCTAATGAAACAGTGAAGTTCACATTCAACAATGAACAATCCATTCAGTGATGGTTTAAATAGAAGCAAAATAAAGCAGATTAAAAAGAAAGAAGCTGTAATTATTTTTTGAAGAACCTCAAGCTCTTGTCCTACTATTGGCCTGTATGTGAGCCTCAAAGGCAAAATACAGGTAATAAACATTACAGGAAGGCTTACCAATCATGCCACACCCCCTTTTCAAGTATAATCATCTAAAAAGCATGCAGGAAAAATAAAACAAAAATCAGAAAAACTAAGATCCTGATTAAATCAATCCGACACTGAGCTAGTCATCTATTGTTATTCTTGACAAAGAACACACACACACTTTCTGATTTCAGAGCAGTGCAAGCCACATAAAGGTGTGTGCACCAAAGCCACACCAATTGTCCCTATTCTCTAGGTGAGTAGGGGGGAGATTAAATTGATAGGTTTAGAAAGGACAATTCTGATTACAGGATGGGCACTTAAATTCAGTTCCATTACCTTACTCAGGGCTCTATTTCGCATACACACACACACACACACACACACACACACACGCACGCACACGCACTGACACTAATACTAATAAAATTTAATTCTTTGATTCAATGAAGTGGAGCACCATTTACATAGAAGTTGCTGTTATTGTCGTCTTCTGGTAACATGGTGCCAATCTGACTCATAGTGGCCCTATGTCCAACAAAGGGAAACACTGCCTTGTCTGGCCCCACCTTCACAATTGTTCCTGTGTCTCAACCCATTGCTAGCCACTGTGCCAATTCGTCTCACAGAGTGTCCTGCCCTTTTTTACTTCCCCTCACTGGTCCCTCCGGTTACCTGTCTGAATTAGGTGAGACAACGCTTCACCATCCCCCTTCTACGGAAATATTAGTAATCCAAGGGTGTCTAAATTTCAAATGTTTTCCCTCATCTATGTCAAACCATTGACAATACTTGGAACTCAGACTCTTGCTTAAATTGGTTTTTTGCCCTCCCACTGATTCCATATCTCACATTTGCAGTCATCAGCCAAAATTATCTGAAACCATTCAGCTCAGACATTTACATAGATCAAAGCCAGAAATTTCTTTAAATCCTCTATTCTGACTCTTGTTCCTGTTTTCCTGGCCTAACATGTCATATTAACCACAAACTGTCCTGAGTGTGTGTGTGTGTGTGTGTGTGTGTGTGTGTGTGTGTGTGAGAGAGAGAGAGAGAAAGGGGGGGGAGGGGGGTCTAGATCAAATGAAAAAGATTAACAAATTGCTCATCTATTCCTTTAACTAATTTAAATTATAGATGTATAAAAATAAGTCCTGAGATTGAATGCTTATTTTGTCTGGGTTATTTGTATCTACCAACATCTTTTCATCAGAATCCACACAAGCCATTAACTCACTATAAACTTCTGACCAAACTGCATTACACCCATCCTATAGTCAGCACTGGATCTCCCAACAGCTTTCAGCCTCCACACAGTTCAAGTGGCAGAGAAAAAAACCTCCCAAATTGCATTTCCGGAATGCACGCATTGTGGGTAGAGAGGGGACTTTCAGATGTCCTTTCATTCAGCGTGCGTGTGTTAAAAAGCTGTTCAATATTCATGTCGGCATAAAAGTATTAATACCTCACTTATCTTCAGACATGTTTCTGAATCAACATCTGGTGCATGCTCAAAATGTCTGAGATTAGCATTTGGCCCAGAAGGTCTATTTAACGTTCCCAAGTCTAAGAGAGCGAACTTTGCAAAGACTTGTTTTCTAAACCTAATCAGTTCTCCAAAACAGTCACCCACTTTTCCACAGATGGCTCTCTCTCTCTCCCTCTCTGTGTCAACAGTCCTTTCTCTTTGAAAAGAAATTGATCTTCACAAGATTACCTTCCAGCACACTGCCTCCTACCACCGTTTCGCCTTCTTTGCGGTGTGCAAGCAAAGATCAGCTGTTTTATTTCCACTTCTATTAGTTCAAGCTCAGCTAGCCCAACACATCTGTTTTATTTCTAAAATCACTGCCCAGGAAAAGTGTCCAGCTCGTTCTGCCCAAACATAAACTTTACTATAAATAACCAAGAAGAACCTAACAAATAACTGTTTGGGGGGAAATGGAAGTGTATTTAAAAATCCGAATTCTTCCAAAATATAGGCCCCCATGATCTTTGTGTGAGAGCCTTCCTGACAGGCTGGCTCAGCTCCCCTCAGATGTTGTCCCCAGAGTGAGCAAGCTGAAACTCCTGCCGGAAATCCAGGTATTAACATCATACTCCTTGCTAATTATAAAACACCGTTTCTCATGCTGACATTATTCACTTCCAACCCTTTTATCTGAGACACGTATTTGCTTTCCAATCACAGTCTGACGGCAGAGTGGATCTGACATTCGACAGTGAAATGATCTTTAATAAGACAGCAGTTCAGAGCAGGCAGCCTTTGTGCATAATAACTATGTTAGCTTAAGTTGGTGCTCCACAGAAAGAATTCTATTTGTGGAAATTCACAGAGTACGAGGGAATTTTTGGAGAGCTTTATGAAGATGAAGCTGGCTTTTACAGGGCTCTCCTCTAGAGTCCCTCCAAGAGAAGAGAGGGCCATTCTGACATTCGAGGGACTCCGCAAGTTCTCTTCGGATTCTCCCTACCAGGATCACCAAAGTATGTCCACTACCTGTGAGTGGACCACCTTCACAACTCCTCAGCCTGGATTTCTTTACTGCCATTTGGTCAGCGGAGGTCTAAGACAAACCTGCTGCATATGGAGCTGATGATAGGACTCAGATGGTCAGAGATTTGGTAGGTCAAATGTGTGGGCTGTGACTTTAGTAATCCTCCGATACGTCTTCTAATCTATCCTACAGAAGATGAACCTAAGCCTACTACGTTTGGAATTCTGCCGGCCTAAAAATACAGCAAGGTATCTAGACCGCTACAGAAGCTAATAAATATACTTTCTCAGGATAACTTGGAGTTTCTTCTACACTAAAATTACTAAACTTAAATGAATATTCTTTAGACTCAATTCCACTTTGCATTCTCTTTGAAATTCTAATGAGTCTTTTTCTTTTGCCCACTTTACATGTGCTGTGAACTAAAGACTGAAAGGTAGATCAAGAAAGTTTGTCAGTTTTAATAAAAGCATAAATCTGATTATGATTAAATGCTTTAATAAATTATTGCCATCTTCTTGAAATGCGGAAACAATGTTTGCTTAGACTGCACCAAGGTCATTCTTCTGTCTTTAATGCTTAGCATCACATGGAGTTATTTCTAATCAATATAACATTCCATTTCCAAACGGGCAACGGCAATTAGTTTGTTTTCAGGAGTCTCTCTCTCTTTAACCTTCAATGTGACTGAAATCTAGTTCAATTTGGTGTCCAGCTGAGTATAAAGTCATATCCTAAACCAAGACACAGGGAAGACCCTGACAGAGGGACCAGCCTTATAATCTAAAATTAAAACAAGGCATGTTATTATCATGAGAACCATATAAATCAGTGCCATATTTGGAAGACTGTGAAAACACCAGATTGCTGTGAAGTATGTCCAGAATTAGGAAGCCTAGCTAAGTCTACCAAAGAGGTCCTGCCGATCTAATGGGAATGTGGGGGCTGTTTCTCATGATGACAGGTTAGTAACAACATAAAAGCACACCTGAGTGCAAGAGACACGGGACGTGTCCCTCGCTTCTGCTGGATCTAGCACAGGACCTTTCTGGAGTTGGGGACATGGGGTTGATCACACACACACAAACTCGCCCTTCATTACTAATGACTTTGTCTGTACACAGAGATCACAATACGAAGCACAAACCTGCACATCGTAGGTCCCATTTAGTAAAACAGGCCTCGCTGAATTGATGTCCTGCAGCACACCAGAAAGCACGGAACGGTTGGCCTTCTGGAAGTCTTTGGGATGGCTGAACTGCACCATGTTATGAAGGGCCAAGATTTTGCTGTCCAGCTCAGCATCCTGCCTGGTGCGGTTATGCAGTCCTAAGTGATACTTTCGGAAGTGCTTAATCAGATCTGTGGGGTCGTTGCCATAGTAACCGTATCCACAGATATTGCATTTAAAGTCCTGAAGCTCTGGAGACAGAGGTGCCGGGTCTGGGTTGTCATTCACCAGTAAGTCAGTTTTGGATTTGTTCAGTCTCACACCCCCATCTGAAGGCACTTGTGGGTTTTTTGAGGCCACCAAAACCGGGCTTGAGCCTTGACAATTGGCTTGACCACTCTGCGCTTGCCCTGTTTCCTCTGTAGCCTTTGGTGACATCTTAGGATCCTCCTTTGTCTCCAATGAATCCCCGGGTGGGGGGCAAGCCATATCTTGAGGGTCATCTGCCTCTGTTCTTTGAGAAGACTTCAAGGGCTCACAGGCTTCCCCAGCAGCTGGAGACGAGAAAGCCAGCATGTTTCTGTCTGTCACCGCATCATGCGGTGGGAAGGAGGGGAGGTTTCCTCCCTTACTGGGGCTTTCATCGTTGAAGCCAGCCTTCTCGCTCACGACTGAGCTTCTCTGGTCCTTCTTCCTGCTAGAAGATGGATCTTGAACTTGCAGGCTCGGTTCCTCCTTATTATTTAGTTCTGCAGTGTCACTCTGATCCGTATTTTCTGACATCTGATCTGCAGACAATTCTTGGTTTCTTCCAGATACTTTACTTTCAGTGCCTACGGGCTCCAGGGCCTGGCCCTCGCCTTCACTAGCAACGTTTCTCAGAGGGGGGTTCTTCTTCCGGACCATATCTGTGCGAACAGAAGGAAGAGGCAGAGACAGGGTCACATGAAAGTCACCGGCACGTAAGCGACTCCGAACTATTTTATGTATTCCATTCAATGTTTTCCAATATGAGTAACACAATATCCCTCCAGGGGGTGGAGGGGAGCCCATTTTTAACGTTGCAAAAATTAGAGGCTAAAGCATATAACATACAGTTAGAAATATTTTTGTCCCAAAGAGTGGATCATTTTTATTCCTAATGGGATTAAGAATACTGAAGGGTTCAGATTTATTAGCTTAATCCTTCCTACCTATTATTCTTGCCTGTCAAATTAGAATCCTGACCAATGTATCTCATCAGTGATAGTCACATACATATATGCCTCTAGATGCATACATGTCAGGTAGTATATAAAATGCATGCAACAGACATGAAGGTGAGTCTCAAAATATCACTATGAATGCAAGCAACCTTTATTAAACAAAAATATAAAAGTGGGAAGCAACTGTTTCTTGACACATCCTTTATCGAGGTCTACACACTTCTCATGGTGCGATTTCTCTCTCTCTCTACTAACTACCAGCTGCCCCGCCAGACAGAGAGACATGAGATTTTCTACTCCTGGAAAGTAAGGTGTTACATTCTCAGAAAGCCACAGGGCCAACTTTGTTCTGTCGTCTAGGGCTACTGCGAGTTGGAAGTGACTCGGCCGCAGGAAGTTTGGCTTGGTTGGGGGGCGGGGGTTGGTGGGAACCCTTCTGCACAATTCTATTTACATCACTTCCAAATGGCAATGTTAACATCCTCAGAGGGCTAGAATCATGTGCGAGTTCGAGGAACAAAAAGAAGTTTGAAGAGGCATGACCGAGGCTGTTGGTTGGATGGGATGGGATACAGTTTCCCAAGGAAATTCTCCTGGGACAGAAAATCTCCCTTGTTATCATCCAAAGTATCGTCACTCTGTGGGGAAAAATCCTTCAGCACAAGGATTCACAGAGTCAGACACCCACTGGAGCTGCTCTCCTCGGTCCTAGACAGGGGTCACTTTGAGTCGGAATAGGCTCCACAGTCGTGGCTTTAGTGTTGGAGTTCTTATCATCCAGTAGGATAGAGACACTACCTCTAAACCCCCAAGCACAACCTGCTGAAGTGTCATCGCAACGTACCGGATGTTCACCCACTTAAAACATGAAGGCAGGCCCTGGGCATCATTCTTGTCATTCAAAATGGTAAAGTATCGCCAACGGCCCTCTACATGCCAGCTCACTGTGTGAGCTGCTCACTGACCGTGGCTAGGGTCAAAATAAGAATTCTTGACAAGTTTCTCTCCCGGTATGTAATAAATCAGAACTCAAAAGAGAAAGAAGAAACAAGATAAAGAGAGAGAGAGAGAAGCAACTTCTATTATTTCAATAAAAGATGGCAGAAGTGAAGGCTCGTGGGGACTGGGTTTTCGTGGCCTTTCTTCCTGAATCAGCCGGGCAACTCTTGCCCTGTGCTAAGTCATCACCCCAAATGTCTACGGGAACCCGGCCTTCATCTGGGTCTGCCTAGCAAAACCGGGCTTCTTCACTAGCCAGCTCTCCCAGGCGACAGAGTTCATTGCACCACATGATTAGCCAAAATGTCCTGAGAAAATCGAAATTAATCACACACATTGTTCGTTTTCATCTGTATGCTCGTTTTCATCTATAACCTCTCACAAGTGCAGAGAATCCACACTGGCTCTTGGTCTCTGGGTGTACCTTTGCTTCTGAAAAGCAGGCCAAGCAAAATTGCGATCCTATGAGTCACTGACTAAACAAAATTGCACTAAAGTAGGTGAGATTGATCACAGGGTGAAAATTCTCATTGGCTGAGTAACATCAAAAATATCGTATAATTGCCCTTAAGAAAGCACACTGCTCTTCGGCACAGCTGATGCTATTAATCAACTGGCTATAAAAGCTCACTCTTGGAACAACAAAATACACACATTCACCAGACTGAGGTTCCAATGACAAGGAAGCCCTTGAAGTAATGAAGCTGTCAAATGAACTAAGGGAGGTAACAATCGTTTCAAAACAAAAAACAACCTGGTGCACCAATTTCCTTCTTTAATGTCGGTTGCATTCCAGTGTCTTCCTTGTGAGTGTTTACCTTTGAGGAGCTCTCTACCCTCCAAGCACCTCGGGACTTGGAGTAACTTAGGGAAGACTGGAGGGCAATTTTATCCATAATGAACAAAGGGAAAAGAAAAAAAGGAGAGGAAGCTTAAAAAGTTAGGTATCATAAAAGTAAGAATTTTAGTAAAGGAAGTACTATCTGTTTTTACCTACAGAAAAGGACTTCCTATTCTACAACAATAACAGATATCTATCCACATAAAAATGTGATCGTTTGGCGAGCAACTCTACCTTTCCCTCCAGAATTTCTTGTTTATTGTTTCCATTTTACATACTGTCCACACCAACAGTTACAAAAGAATCTTGCCTTTGACAAATGCTGAATAACTGTGTTATTCATATTTCATCCTTTTCACTTGTGAATAAAACTATTTCACCAAATAAATAAGGTTACCAAAAAAAAAGGATTAAAACCCTACAGGAAACTGTAAACTCCATGACTAAATGAGGAATTAATCATCTAATTGATTTAGATCATCTTCCATCATAATGAAAAGGTAATAGTTATGGTCATCTATTGCTTAAAGCCCATGGGGATTGGAAAACTGGCAATGTTCCTATATTAATGGAACCTAGACAAAATATTTTAAGAGTGAAGAGATATAAATATATTGGTATTAAAATCAATACACTATCTTTCAGAACAAAACAAAGTGTGTACCTGGCCAATTTATTGTTATCCTCAAAAGATGCAATGGGCCATAGTTTAATAACTACTCAATCAACATCCTTAATGCCTATGAGAAATCGCATTATAATTAAATGACTATCTTTGCAAATTGCAGTTCCTTCTTCCACCCTACTGCAGACTTAAGGACACACATGACTCATTGACCCCTTAAGCTGAATAGAGCCTTTAATAATATACATTACAAAGAATGTCCAACTGCTACAACTTCAAAGAACTATCAGAAAGGTCATTGGGTTTTATTTTTTTGTTGGGAGGGGAGCAGAGAATGTTCTTTTTTGTTGTTTTTGTTGTTGTTTGTTAATGCGCTTAATTTAGTTGACTATACTTTGAAGTCGTTATAGGGAAAAATGTACTAGAATTATATCACCATAATTTTTCAGAATGACATATTATGTAAATATAAGCACATTTGCAATACTTCTCAGTGGAAGAAACTCCCCGAGCAAGTCATAAGTTAGATGCTATAAGACTATAGCCACCCTCAAGTTGTTATCTCGAAGACAAATAACAGATTGCACTAGAGTTCACTGTGTGCCAAGAACTTTCCCAGTTAACATTTTCACTTGAAAAAAATGGATCACATACTTGTAAAATCATACCCAGCATTGACTTCATAAGGCATGTGGCTTTAGAGTGCTGTTGACAATTATTAATTTATTAGTCAACTAGCAGGAGGCTAATGCAATGGTCTTAGGAGAAGCTCTGACGACTCAGAAGACCTTTTGAGAGCTGATCTGCACATCTGCAAAACAAAGAGAAAAAAAAGATTGCCTTCCTACATGGTGCAAACATGCTTCAGTTTACCACCTCCAAAAGACATTCAGCTCCCAGCACACTGAGCTGCTTCAAAGATACCCGATAAAAGCCTGCACGGGCCCTGGGCAGGAGCCCATCCCTCCCCGGGGCCTAAAGGAAGCAGCAGAAGCAGGATCGTGATAGAAAGTGTTTATTTCTGCGGATGACAGACCGTGGTGCGGGTGAAATTATTTACCTCTCACGTCCCTCAACTCTAGTAGCTACAATACTTACCTACAGTGGAAAGTAGGAGTCACAAACTCTCAATTCATGAACATCCGCAAAGGCTCTGCTAGGGGAAAGTCTACCACACATCACCTAAAACACACCAAGGGGCCTTAGTCTTCAGTTTAGACAACTCCATTTTAAACTGGATCCCTCCCTCGCATAGCAATATCCTTCATACAAACGACACAAAAAAAAATTTAAGTTCGAAATGCCAATGTAGGTGCTCTACAGGCAACTATTTTAGATAACAGAGCAAAATGTGAATTCACACACACACACACACACACACACATCAGTTGCTCAGGAGTCAAACGCAACCCACAGTGATGCCACATGGGTCACAGCAGAGTTCTGCTCTGAGTGGACTCATACAGCCCACCTTCTGGTTAGGAGCCATTACCACCCAGTAAACTAACCCAAACTTTGACCTTGCTGATTTCAGTCTTCTAATTGTGAGATTCAAAACTGCCCTCTGGATGGAGATTATGCCCCCTCCCACTTTGAGACCATCCTCATCTGCATCGTCCATTTTGTCCGATCTCCTCCCTACGTCCCTAGAGGACAAAGCAGAACAGCCCCACAGTGCGTCCACAGTGGAGTGGCTGGTGGATTAGAACCACTGACCTCTACCTGACCAGTCAAACTCATAGTCAGTGCTCCTTTCCATTTATATATAAAATTGTGTATTTACTTACCTGATTAAGTAAATCATGTACTGCAAGTGTGTTAAGGGCAAAGATATTTAAATGTGTTAAATACATTCAGCCCATGGGAAATGCTCTATATGCATTCATTTTCATTATATTGAGATGTAAGACAGTGCATCTGCAAAAAGCATGTATTTCTACTCTCAACTAACCAGATTTCTTCTAAGATAAAACTGAATCTAAAAATCTTTTTTTTTTAACATTTTATTAGGGGCTCATACAACTCTTATCACAATCCATACACACATCAATTGTGTAAAGCGCATTTGTACTTCATTCTCAAAACATTTTCTCTCCACTATGATCTCTTAGAAAAAAGTTTATTACTATAAGAAGTCATACGATAGTATACTCTAGTGTCACTTAAAAGATGTATGTAATGGAAACAATCACCTTAGATCTTAATTCTGTGACCAATGTTATTTTTCTTAAGAATGTGTTTTAACATCTATCCGAGACGGTAACCATGCCGTCACAGTGGCACTGTCCAGCAACAACCCAACCAAACAACTGTCAGAGTCAATTCCAACACATAGCAACCCCACAGGGCAGAGTAGAACTGCTCGGTAGGGGTCACCAGGAGACCACTAACTCTCTCACTGCCATCAGGCCAGTGGCAGTCCTTGGAAAGGAACATCATGCATGGTAAAGCAGGGGGTCAAAAACAACAGAGTAAGACCCTGGACAAGATGAAATGGCGCTGAGGCTCAGCACTGGACTGAGACAGAGGAACAAGAGGGAGACCGAGCAGGGTGGCCTGTATATTGGATCTCCACGACCCATCATTTGGTCCATGACTCAGTGCTTAACTCACTGTGCTACCAGTATTCCTTTCCACATCAAAGAGGAGCTGATGTTTCCAATAACGCCTAGCTAGACACGAAGGTGCTTCAAAATGTTCTTGGAAACAATGGAATTAGAAGAAAATGGAACTTTCCCATGAATATTTTGAAATCGCCTCAAATTAACCACTTAATGATTTCGTTTCATGTCACATATATACATAAGATAATTGATCGATTACATTTACATACATCACTCTGAATAACCTTGCAACAAGATCGTGAAATGAATTATTCAACCATCATCAGCGATCAGTTAATTTTAAAAAGGAGCGCAGCTAACATATCCATCCACTCAACGCTGACGAGAACTCAGAGGGTTTTCTTCAGATGAGAACCGGAAGCCTTCGCTCTCGTAGCTTAACTGAAAACAAAGAATCCAAAGGTGGCAGAAGCCTAAAAAGGAGTGAAGCAATCCTGAGTCTCTGGTTCTGGATCGGATTCAGATCTCGTGCCAAAAGCAAGTCCCTTCACTTCTCTGGACTTAACGTCTTCATTGTACAGTAAGAGGTTTAGAATAAATGATTTCTAACCTGCCCTCTGAACCTGTGTGACTCTACAATGGCTCTAGTTAATGGTTTAGGCACTTTGTGTTACCTTGGGAAACCTTGATCCAATTATGTAAAAGACTATAAAATATTAAACCACCAAGAAGTGAAGTCGGCCTAAATCACTGGTGCCTGCCATTCATGCAGTCCTTCGTTCTTCTCAGCATTTATTCAGGCACTACGTGTATATTTGCCATCAGCCTCGTGCCAAACCCATCAAACAAGATGGCCACACTGTTATTCTCATCTAAAGAAGGATATTTTTAAAACACACACGCACAAAATAATTCAGAAGTCATCTTTCTCAGAGAAAAGTAAAACTTCTATGCAAAAGAAACAAATATGTTTGCATAGATATGAGTGTCTGGCATACATACATATATTACACTGTAAGCACACATATTCTGGACAAGACTGTAACACATGTATGTGTGCTAGGGTCATGGAGCAGGAAGGCCATGTAATCTGAACTCAGTCTCCAATCCTGCTGAGCATGATTTTTATTATAAGTAGCGGTTCTTATTTTCATAATATATACTAGGTTGACTTTTTGTTTTTCTAGATAACAAAGTATTTGAAATCAAAGCTTGTACCAAAGAAGAAGTCATGATGGTCTTTTCCTTAATGAAGCTATTTTTCCATGCTTATTTATATCACTGGCCAAAGGGCACTGAGTTATGAATTACACATTCCACGTCCCTTTAATTATTTTTTTTAATTTAAAAGAAAGAAAAAAAAGGAATCACAAATTGTTTCTTTTGATCAAAAGTCCCCCACAAAGAATTTCAAGTATTAAGCAAGTGATAGCAAAATAAAAGAAAGGTCAAGTCTTGGGCCTATAGCAAACTAGATAGCTTCCATATGAACAACATATAAAGTTCCATTTTTCAAGAACATATGTGTTTGCTCATTGGGTTAAGAGGGGGGGTGGCTTGAATCTTGTCTACTCCACATATACAGATCAAAATCAGATTGCTTAAGTGAACTATAAAATGCAAGGAAACTGTTTATCCAATTCACAAACCCAAGAATTACTGAAGGAGTTTAAGCATTTTCTATTTCTTTAGACTCCAGGGCAATACTTCAATGGTAAGTTGCATTTTTTGTAAATTGCTTCAAACTTCATAAATCCAGTGTCAGACCCTGTTCTTTACTATCCAGTTCTATTTCATTTACTCTCACTGAATTGATTGTTCCTGAATCTTTAAAGGTTTTTTTGGACATGGTAAATCCTGTTGAGATTTAAATGTCATCACCTTCAAACAACTCCCTTCAAATAAATCTCTTATTAATTCACATCAAATTAATCCAAAATGATCACTTCTATTAGCATATGCTTCAGAGCATGAAGCTCATTAATAGTCATCTGGACCCTTGGACTCACCCAAGCCTCTCTAAAATGCACACTATTTAGATATCCTATTTCAAAGAGGCCTGATGCTGGCCCAAACACATTTTATTAGGCTTTTACTTCATCAAGCTATGCTCTCCATATTTTAGCTATCTCATTTCAAATGTACTTGTCTAGGAAAAGTAGATAGCCTGGTAAGTAATCATGTCACATGACCCAAATGAGTCTTCAAATCTACATGAATATATGCAGACTCATTTGGGATATGTATTAATATATCCTATATTATTATATTACACATTGGTATTGTGTGTTAAACATATTATATATACATGCATATACACATATATGTTAAAGGATTTTATTCAAATGAAATAACATTTATAAGAAACTTATAATACCTTTTGCTTTCAAATGACTTCATGCTAGAAATCAATGGGATAATTAAAATGAAGCAAGTATTCATTATACGTTATCAAAAAGGAAGAAGAACTGACTCTCTTTCCTTTCATAACAGGTGGGAGGCAAATGTATGGAAAACTCTGATTTGTATAAGATCGCAATTTCACTAAGCAAATTGAGAAATGTTACTATTCATTTTCCCCATACATGAATAGGTTTTCCTCTCAAAAAATTTTTTTAAATAATCCACAATGACAACTATTGATTCAAACAAGCTCAGCTGATTTTTTGCATTTTCACATGGGCCAGGCTCAACTCATTGTTAAACTTCAAATATTTTAACTGGTCCCTGGGACAAGGGCCAAACATAACACTTAAGTTCAAAAAGAGTAGCCCATAGAAAAATATAAATGCCTCCATTTATCTTGATAGTTATGATGTGAATTGACATTGTATTTGTACGTTAATTAGGTTCCACTGATAACAAAAATAGTCCCCACTGCTATGCTTGGTAGGAATGCCTTTGAATTTCTTAAGAGCATTTGCTGAAAAAACATCTTTGTTTATTAAAGGGAGCCCCTGGTTGGTGCAAAAGGTCCCATGGCTGCTCACCAAAAGGTGAATGGGTGAAGTCCACCCAGAAGCACTTCAGTAGAAAGACGTGGCAATTACTTCCCAAGATCACTCACTGGAAAAGCCAATGCTGCTGTCACACACACAGGACGCTTTGAGTGTAAAGTCACTATGTGGCAGCTGGAGATCATGTCTGGCGTTGCTTTGTCTGTCTTCCCATCTGCTATTTCACTGGAAAAGGACACCTGGAGGCTAGGCATTGGGGTGCTAAC